CTTGGAGGCCACTTTGTGTTGGTGGCTGCAACCCGTTTCTTTACAACAACTGCACTTGTTCCGCATGCCCATGTGTGTGGGAAAGGAGAGGGAGAGCGATGAGCGAGAAGGCCTCATGGGCGCATAAGTGTGTTTCAGGGCCATAGAGCGTTCTGGATGATGTCTACATGGGCGTTTCCCTTTGCCTTTCGATGTTGGCTGGAGGCTTGAACAACCTTTGTTCGCGTGATGGAGTTTTACTTCTCAGATTCTATGTTTCCCCCTTTTTGTTTGCGTGCTTTCACCGCTGCTTCCACGCGACGATGGCTTGTCTTGTGGCCAGCCCCGTTATTACGACTTCCTCTTATGAGCAGATTGAGGGCAGTGGTGGGTGGTCCATTTGTGTGTCCTCTATCGACGACGAGAATTCATGCCTGCACTGTAACCGGCGTCTATATTTTTCCATGCCGGTGAAGGGCGCAGATGTGTGTGGTCGTTATTGTCGTTTGCAGCGGAGAAAAGGAGCATCCCGCGTTACTGCACTCTTTTCCTCGCCTTTGCTGCCTTGTCTCTTTAGTGTCGGTAGCTGTTGCTATTTGCGGTGTCGGGCCTGACGCCTCGCCGTGCAGGATGGAGGTGAACAGCACGCTAGTGGAGTGCAAGCGCGAGGACACGGACGCAGTTGCCTTCCGTTTTCTCATCCTCGACGCCCCGTCGCCCAGCAGTGTTCCCATGTACGTGAAATTGCTGCAGAGGTACCACGTGAGGCACATTGTGCGGGCCTGCGGTCCAACGTACAACACGGAGGTCTTCGAGAAGCATGGCATGGAGGTACACGGCTGGACCTTTGAGGACGGCGCCACGCCGTCACAGGCTGTCGTTGGCAACTGGCTGGACCTGCTTGAACGGGAGAAGAACAAGTCACCGCCCGAGACGATTGCCGTGCACTGCGTGGCCGGACTTGGCCGAGCGCCCATATTGGTGGCACTGGCACTTGTGGAGTACGGTGGAATGCCGGCGCTTGACGCCGTGGGATATGTGCGGGCGCGGCGCAAGGGTGCCATTAATCAGGTGCAGCTTAACTGGCTGATGGGTTACAGGCCGCGTAATCAGAGAGGGAGCGAGGGGTCGCTGAGGTGTGCGAGGTGCGCGGTAATGTGAGTTTGAGGAGTGCGCTTGGAAGCAATGAAGTGGCTGGAATACGAGTGATGATGATGGGGAAGAGTTCCCTTCTTTTCTCGTGTTTTGTGTGTGAGTCGTACCGGCATCCATTTCCTACTGCGGCTCCCGACGCAGTGTATTGATCTCTCTCTCTCTCTCTCTATATATATATATATATATATGACTCAGTGCGTGGATGTACGTGATGTTTACGATGATGATGGTGGTGGTGGTGGTGGCTGCCGGAAGGGGAGGCGTCCGCTGCGCTCTTCTATGTGGCTCCGTGCCGCAGCTGTCCCATCCACTTGCTTGCTCGCTCTCTATGGGGAAGTGTGTGGATGGGTGGGGGGGAGAGTCAATTAAAACAACTTCTCTTCCCACCCTTCTCCCCAAAGAAGGAACAAAGGTGTTTCACCATTTTTACTGCGTTCATCGCCGAGTTAGTGTCGCCGTGGGTGTGGGTGGCGCTAACAGGTCTTTCCACGCGAGGGTGGGACCGGGGCAGACGAGAGGAGGAGGAGGAGGAATGCTTTTTTTTTTGTCTGCATGGGCGCGCCACGTGCCGACGCGGCGGAGGCCTTGCCGTGCAGAAGAAGAAATAGATAAATATATATTTATTTGTATATTTGCGCGTCTGTTCGTGTCATGCGAATTCGCTTACGCGTTACAAACGGGGGCCGCACATGTTGCGCAGCCGGGCGCTGTATGTGAAGGCCGGTGCAAGGCGGGGGAAAACAACCGACAAAAAAAAGTCCCGTGATAACACGCCTCATCCTCCGCTTTTTCTATCCCCTTCTCCATTTGGTTTCGACCTCTGCTGCAGCTTGCGCTACAGGGTTCAGTGGCGCTGTCACGCGCCGCTAAACGAGGGAAGGGGGACAATGTCGTGCTCATGCACCAACGGCGGCGGCGACGACGACGAGATGTTCACCGGGCCGTACAGGCCGGACCTGGCGAAGGTGCAGGCGAAGCTGCGCAACCTGCCGACGCTGGAGCGTCTGCTGGCAGAAAAAGACCCCAATGCATATGCCGACCAACAAATAGAGGCCGCCATGGTTTTCATCGAGGCCGTTGCGCAGGCGCAACCATCGTCTGCGCAGCAGATTGAGCAGCACCTGCGGAAGCTTATGAAGAAGCACCGCATGGTGGTGAAAAAGTCACTGCTACTCGCGGCCTATCGCAGATGGCTGCAAGCCGAGACGGGGCGCAGCGGCAACGCGGTGTTGGAGCGCTATCTTGTCTTCAAAACGCCCAGAAGTCAGTCGGGCGTCCTCGTTGTTACTGTCTTCACCTCACCGTACCCAGAGGGGCAAAAGTTCAGCTGCAAGTGGAACTGCTACTATTGCCCAAATGAGCCAGGAAACCCACGCAGTTATTTGCTCAACGAGCCTGGGGTACGCCGCGCCAACCGGCTCGCGTTTGACGCCTACACGCAATTCCAGGACCGCGTGAGGTCGCTTGTGGCGATTGGACACCCAGCCGACAAGGTGGAGCTGCTCGTCCTCGGTGGGACGTGGGAGAGCTACCCGCTCACGTACCGTGAGTCGTTTATTCGTGACCTCTTTTACGCCGCGAACACCATGCCTGAGGGCAGCGAGGGCGGTGATGACAGCAGTGGTAATGCCGAGGCATCGCAGGCGCATCCTATACGGCCTCCACTGGACCTGATGCAGGAGCAGATGCTTAACGAATCCGCCAGGTGTAAGGTCATTGGCGTCACGCTGGAAACGCGACCGGATACGGTAAACGAAGAAATGCTGCAGCAGTTACGGCGATTTGGATGTACGCGGGTTCAGCTTGGCGTGCAGCACACTGATGATGCTGTGCTGCTGGCGGTCAATCGACAGTCCACACGGGAGCAGGCGGTGCGTGCCATCAAGCTTCTCAAGGACAGCTGTTTTAAGGTCGACATTCATCTCATGCCAGACTTACCAGGTTCAACGCCAGCGGGGGATAAAGCGATGTTTGATGATGTTCTCTACTCACCCGATCTGCAGGCTGATCAGTGGAAGATTTACCCCTGTCAGACAACGCCCTTTACAGTGATTGAGCAGTGGTTCAAGGAGGGGAAGTATCAACCCTACGGTCTGGACAACCTCATTGAGGTCATACTGCACGCAAAGCGTCGGGTACAGCCGTGGGTGCGTCTAAACCGCGTCATACGCGACATTCCACATGACTACATTCTTGGCGGTGTGGAGGTGTCTAACCTGCGGCAACTGCTTGCGGCACAGCTTCAGCGGGAGGGCTCACGCTGCCAGTGCATTCGCTGTCGCGAGGTCAAGACAGACGCGGCGGCCGCACACAAACTTGAGGAGGCGATGCTGGTGGAGCGCCGCTATGCCGCCAGTGAGGGGGAAGAAGTCTTCGTGTCGTATGAGACCATGGATGGCTTGACGCTTTTTGGCTTTCTGCGTCTTCGGCTGCACATTCAAAACTGGGTAACTCCATTTGACGAGCTGCGCTTGTGTGCGCTGATTCGCGAGCTGCACGTGTATGGGCGACTGGTACCAACACACACGAAGGGTGACGCGGCAAAAACCCAGCACCGTGGCGTGGGATCGTTGCTGTTGGAGCGGGCCGAGAGCATCGCACGCGCGGCGGGGTATAGCAAGATCGCCGTCATCAGTGGTGTCGGGGTGCGCAACTACTACCGCCGCAAAGGGTACGTTATGGTGTCGCGCCCAAGCTGTGGGGCCTTTCTTATGAAGGAGCTACAGGTAATAACTAATGCAGAGGATAAGCGGGAGGTGGCGGCGGCGCATGCACGCGAAGAGGGCCGGCGAGAGGGTGGCGAAGGCGCAACGGAGGTGGAACCCACCACCACGTTGCATACGGAAGAAGCGGAGGTGCGCAGCGCCGGTGGCTGGTGGCGGCGGTACATTAATGCCCTCCTGGGCCGTTGGAAGCGACCACGGGAGGCGGAGTGACGCCGCTTACTTTGGAGCAAGCGTGCCTTGGGCCGACCGAGCTGCATGGAAGGCGTGTGTGTGTCTTTTTCTTTTGCTTTTGACATGACACATGGCGGAGCACAAGCTGGTTTGGGCAATATCTTTTTTCTCCTCGTT